ACATATTTATAGATGAGTAATAACATCAACTACTACTTACTTGTACTACTTATCCTACTTTGCGGTTTTTCACTTATCGCAGGGCAGGGTATGGATCTCCTGCGATAAACAAGGGACTTCTGTACACACATCCAGCTAATATTTTGAGTAAATCTTATTTGCTTTGCTCAATTGCACAGTTTTTGGTATCTTTTGATGACTCCTGTTCTACGGTCTTGATTGTTTGGTGTGGAATGGCACATAAGAAAGGCCACTGCACCAAGAGATTTTCAGAGGATTTTTAAGAAATGAAAGTAGTTTTCACTTTCAGAGAAAGAAATTATTTTAACTAAGGCTTGGTTTTTACCTCTCTGTTTTATCATTCCATCTGCCTTGCTCTCCTGCGCTTGACATAATCATAAACCCCACCAGCATCCGGTATTCTGAAACATGGGCGCAAAGGGATTATTCAGTTCTCATGCCTCTGTGCCTTATCAGTTATAGGCAAGGTGGGCTGTGCAGTCACGCCACATTCATCCCCACTGCTTTTAATTTACGCCACAAACCATCTTTGAATCCTCTTCCATCTTCATGTTCTCCTGGAAAACATACCCATCTTATCTTAACTACTTAACCACAAGCATTGACCTTGTTTAACAGCTCAAACATGGAGAAATTATCTCAAATTTGAACAAAGATGTGTGAATCAGACAAGCTCTGCTCTGTTGAATTTTTCACAAGCCTTTTAGATGTTTGATGGCAGGGCGGCGTCTGTTGATGCCTGTCTCCGATAATCGATCCCTTCTGTTGGCACGAGGCAGCTTTATCAGTCAAGACGATAGGTGTTAGTGAGGGTTTGACAGGCTGCTGCTGCTAACGAGCTCATTTGTTCATTTCATTACTTCTTTCAAGCTGTGTACACTGTTTTAGTATTAAAACAACACATAGTCACATTTTAGACAATTTCAGCCTTAAAATGCATTGAACAAACCGTCAATTTATGTGGAAATAAATTCTCTTTTAGGCTAATCTAGAAAATGTAACATGCCATCGTCTGTGTTTTAGTATTTGAAGCACCTTGCCTTTGCTTTATCTCTGTCATCTCATCTCCATGCAGACAAGAGCATCTTTCTTTCAGTCTTCCCTTCTTTGGGTGGATTTAGCCTTCAGATGAATCCGTGTCCATGCATCCTAATGTTCTTATTCATAAATAATGAGCGTACGTGGATGTGTGTCCCAGTTTGTGCATGCTGATCAGGTGGTTGCAGCTCTGGTGCTCTAAGAAGCTGTCATACTGTCTTTCAAGGTCCTTGTGTGCTAGTGGGATGCATGTGTGTCAAAGCACGCGTGACCCGATGATTCAGTGCTCTGCTGTTTCCAAATACCACATAATTATCAGTTTGATCTTTCAGGACACGATTACACAAGGGGATTATTAGCCAAAGCACTCTTTTGCCATTTCTGTTTGCAGTTTTGGAGCTTATGCGGTAATGCTCTCACACCCAAACGTGGCGTTTTCGGCAAAACGGGGGATCTACAAACCATCCTCTGCCTCGCCTGCGCCAAGGACGAAGTCACGTATTCAGGTGCCTTGAATGGTGACATCTATGTCTGGAAAGGAATCAACCTCATGAGGACGATTCAAGGAGCTCATGGGGTATGTTGACACCATTTCCTTTTGCTCATCCAGATGTTGCATCCTCTTCTAATTTAAAATACAAATCATGCAGCAAAACTAACCAGGTTTGAAGCTACACGTGCCGGTTTCATTTGATTCTGCTCAGTAGAGAAGGATCAGCCTTTTGCTCCACAGGATTAAATGATATCTGTGGGATCAACAGCTGGGTGAGGGGGTAAGCAAATGGGGGGAGGGGATAATAACTACACTACATTTTCATTCCCGATTTTTGTTGTCCACATATCTCATTGGGGCTTTAAGAGGCCTCTTTACACACTGCATTTGTAAGACAAATTGCTCAAGCTTTCCTATCACAATAAAAACAATCTCTTTAATGTGTTCTCATCTTGAGGCCACAGTAGCTGGTTTGTAATTGTTAAAGCCTTGTTGAACAAATGGTTGGCTGAGCAGCAGCACTGTGCGGGTTGTAGCTGGGACTGGTTCTGTCGTTGCTCATTTACTGTGCAGATCTTCGCTGACAGCCTGTCTATTTTTTTTTCAGTCGGGGATTTTCAGCATGAATGCCTGTGAAGAGGGCTTCGCTACTGGGGGACGGGACGGCTGCGTTCGGCTATGGGATCTCAACTTCAAACCAATTACTGTCATCGATCTCAGGGAAACAGACCAAGGATATAAAGGTTGATGTCAAACTGCTTCCGTTTTCTTTTTAATAAGGGTAGAGAAAAGCTGCAAGTCAAACAGTGTTCTCCTGAGTCACTGTGAGATTCATCAATCTGCAGGAAGCAAACACCGTTGGATGAAAAAAGTCATTTTTCTACATTTTCTCTTCAGTTTACTAACATTTTACTTCTTTTCTATTTCTCTCATCTTCTTTACTTGTAATCTTGGATCTTACAGTAGCTAGGGGTGAAAATAGCCGAGGTGGGTAATGTGACTGAGGGTGGAGTTTATCAACCATTTCAGTCTGTTTGTAGCAGTCCACCCATTGTTCTGCTCTTCTTCTTGTTGTTAGTAAGTCCAAGCTCTGTTACAGTTTTGCTCCATAAGCAGATGTCTTCATCTACAGTCTTGTGCAAAAGGTGAACTAAACAGAAAAAAATAGTTTTTTTTTTTTTTAATATAGATTATTTTTAGTGAAAGGAGCAAGGGGAAATAAAATAAACATTTTTCACATCCATTCTTACAGAAAGAGTTCTTTAGGAGCACATTTTAGGACATTTGGCAGGTGCATTGGATCATAAAGAACTTTCTATATTTATTTTGTCTGTATCACCGTCTCCTGTCGCTTCATGGAACCCCACACTGATTTCATGACGCTGAAATCAGAAATCTGTTGCAAGAATTCATGTTTTGTTGTGACTGTAGAAAGTTCTGATTAAATGTTTGCGGTTCTTCTAAATTTAAGACATTTATCGCATAAGAATCCAAACATTCAAAATGGCTAAAACCTTTGCACAGCACTGTATTTATATGCATTTTACATCTTACTCTTGCTGTTTTACGCAGATTCAGTAGCCAACTGGCTTGAAAACGTGCCATTGCTGTGTACAAACCTCTGTTCTAGCCTGCAGATGGTTATTATCACTTCATGTCTTTATTATGTATATTATGATGATAAAAGCAACAAATGTTTGTTGTATAGGTTTTGCCTAATCTTCAGTGTGGTGTGTGTTTTTCATAGGGTTGTCGGTGCGCAGCGTATGCTGGCGGGGAGATCACATCCTGGTGGGCACACAGGACAGTGAGATCTTCGAGGTGGTGGTTCACGACCGCAACAAGCCCTTCCTTATCATGCAGGGTCACTGTGAGGGCGAGCTGTGGGCGCTGGCAGTACATCCCACTAAACCTCTGGCCATGACAGGAAGTGACGACCGCTCAGTCAGGTCAGGCTTCACGTTCAGGGCATGCAGCTCTTACAGCGCACGTTTTATGACTTTAACTATTAAATAAAAATGGAGGAAAAGTTGTTTTCTAACACATCTATTTTAATAATGCTACTGAAAGTGCTAAAAGTAGCAATAAGCTAGCTAAAAGCTAAAAGTAGCAGACTAATTAAAAGCTATAAGTAGCAAAAAGCTAGTGAGAAGTTAAAATAACAAAATTCTAGAATAAAGCTTAAAGGTGCAAACAGCTAGCTAAGAGTAGCAAAATCCTAGCTAAAATTTGCAGTACAGTAACTAAAATACACAAGTGGCGAAAGGCTAACTAAAAGCCAAAAGTAACAGATCGGTAGCTAAAGGTAGAATGTCGATAACCAAGAAGCTACAAGTAGCAAAAAGCTACCAAAAGCTAAATGTAGCAGAACATGAGCTAAAAGCTACAAGTAGCAAAATGTTGGCTAAAAGATAAAAGTATCAGACGAAGTGCTAAAGGCTATAAGCAGCAAAAATCTTGTTAAAAGCTAATAATAGCTGAACAGTAGCTAAATACTTGAAGTAATCACAATCTAAAGCCTATCTAAAACTTTCAAGTAGCAGAATAATAGCTAAAAGTAGCAAAAAAATTGCATTTTTCTGGTCTGTGGGAGGAAACTGGAGTACCTGGAGAAAACCCACACATGCACAGAGAGAACATGCAAATGCCACCCAGAAAGGTCCCTGGCCGGGATTCGATCCAGTGACCTCGCTGAGAGGCAACAGCTCTACCAATTGAGCCCTATTCATACTTAAAGTTTAATATTTTTAAAAGTACTATTTTTTTTCAGTAATAACATAAATCCTAAATGAGCTAAAAGTTCTGACATATGAATAACTAAAAATAACACCAAGTATGCAGATGTAATTTGATTTAAAAAATCATTCAGAAAAATAAAAAAAACACTATAGTGTAAATTTTGAATCTGCATTCTCACAATAAAATGCTGAAAACCAGTATTTTCCTTTTCATTGCCCCTGCTGACAGATGTGCAGGTTGCTCCTCCGCTCTGATTGTCTGGCGCTGTAATTCCATAATCGCTTCTTGTTGTTGATGTTTCTGCAGGATTTGGAGCCTTATAGATCATGCACTGATAGCTCGCTGCAACATGGAGGAGCCGATCCGCTGTGCAGCTGTGAGCACTGATGGTATTCATCTGGCGTTGGGAATGAAGGATGGATCTTTCACCATTCTTAGAGTCAGGTGGGTTATGGAACCTCACAGAAGATGAAAATTTTGATTCGATGTGAATGCCCCATGAAATAAAGGTCTTTGTTATTTGGCATCCATTTACGCTCTTTATCATTTTTCCTGCCTTGCTCCAGGGATATGACGGAGGTGGTCCACATCAAGGACAGGAAAGAGGCCATCCACGAGCTAAAGTACTCCCCTGATGGGGCCCATTTGGCTGTCGGCTCCAATGAAAACTCAGTGGATGTCTATGGTGTGGTGCAGAGGTACAAGAAAGTGGGAGAGTGCATTGGCTCCAGCAGCTTCATCACACACATGGACTGGTCCACGGACAGTAAATACCTTCAGACCAACGACGGCAGCGGCAGACGACTCTTCTACAGGATGCCAAGTAATTGCTGCTCAGTTATCAGATGACAGGAAATTCAACGAGAGGCTCTGTGAGGTAAACTGTGTGTCTTTTGTCGAGGTGGGAAGGAGGTGACCAACAAGGAGGAGCTGAAGCTGGTGCAATGGGCTTCATGGACGTGTGTGTTGGGCCCCGAGGTTAACGGCATCTGGCCCAAATACTCGGATATCAGTGACATCAACTCTGTTGACGCCAACTTTAACAATCAAGTCTTAGTGACAGCTGATGACTACGGATTGGTCAAACTGATGCGATATCCGTGCATAAGAAAGGGTAAAAAAAATACGTATTTAAACAAAAAGGAAACATTGACATTTTTAATAATATGCATTGTTTAACCCATCTGTTACTTTTTGATTTCAGGTGCGAAATTTAAAAAGTATTTAGGTCACTCAGCACACATAACTAATGTCAGATGGTCACATGACTATCAGTGGGTCATAACTATCGGCGGTGCGGATCACTCAGTGTTCCAGTGGAAGTTTATTCCTGAAAGAAAGTCCAAAGAGGCTCTTCATATAGCACCACAAGGTGAGCTCACTTCACAACACTTACTTCTGATCAATGCTTTAGGGATGTTGTAGAGTTATACTGCAATGTTTCCTCACCTTGCTGATATTACTGCCATCAAGTATTTATCAAAATAAACTACAGTAAATGGAAATTTTGATTTTTGAAGATTGGGTTTGGCAAAATACATACAGTACACGACACATTTCCTTCTAAACCATCATCAAAAACTTGACAAGAGCCATATCAACAACGAACTGAATGTATGATTACATTTTTTTATTACCGTAATTTCCAGACTATTGAACGCATCTGAACATAAGCCGCACCCATTAAATTTAATAATAATAATAGTTTTGTGCATACCTGTATGAAGGCTGTGCTTGGCTATAAACCCCAGGTGTTTATGTAGTATTTACACAGATTTATTTTTTTTTACTTTTAATTAAATACGTACCGGTAACATACAAAAATACTTTTTTTTTTCTTTTCTGAACAGTGTCTGTAACACAGCTGGTTATTAATAAAAATAATACATAATATAAATACAAATACATAATAATACATACATAATTATAAAATAATAATAAAAATACATAATTAATAAAAAAATATACAGTAACGTACCAGGAAGTCGCTGATCACTATCTTCATATACCTCCTGCTCTGATGTCAGGATCCACTGGCAGTGAAGCAAAAGTTGCTCTGCACATGCAGAGGAATTCCCCCTCATGGGAGAGGGAATTTCCCCCTTCCCATTCTCTCCTCCCCTCCCTGTTTCATTGGTCCATTGTTACCTGTTCATTATTGTCACTGGTCAGATTATTATTATTATTTTAACCTTTATACAGGTAGTCTCATTGAGTCACGAGGACCCAAACCCCAAGAGAGACATGTTTTGGGCAGCTCTGTGAGCGCTCGAGTGTGACGAGGCTAAATGTTTTGGCAGAATGAAGCTCGTTAGTCCGTCAAAAACAAAAAAAGTTCCATAAATTAGCTGCAGCATTGTATAAGCCACAAAGGTTCAAAGCCAGTGAAAAAAGTAGCGGCTTATAGTCCGGAAATTACGGAACCCATAAGAGCTTTTTTGACCTTAGTGCCTTGTTACATAATCGACATACTGCTCTTTTTAGTATTCTGAACATGACAGACTCAGATTTCTACACTCGCCCACTGCTTTTAAAAACTATCGTTTCCATGAAGTGCTGCAAAAGAACAGGCATCACTTTAATTAAGACAAATCTAGTGAAAGCTCATGAAGCTTGGAAAGTATAATTGAATTGTTCTCAAGTCGTGTTTTTCTAGAAACAGAGTGCCGCTGTGTTTTAAGAAATTACCTCACATACCAACTGCTCTCCCTTTTAATTTTCCTAATGGACCCTGTGAGTTGTCATCCTGAGCTGCTAGCTCTGCCATTGCCTCGTCTTGGCACGACATTGCTGTGCTGCTTCAGCGTTTTTAAGCGTTTGTCTTGAACGTTGTCACTGTGAGGCATGGCAGCCTAATAAATAGGAGGTGTCATGGTATTATTACAATAATTTTCTCCCACTGTGACTGGACACTGTGGTTTTCTAACTGTGCACACAGAGGAGTTTGATAAGAGGCAGGAGCGCTGTGATGTAACCTTGTTTCTGCCTGCATGCAGAAACCTTGGCAGACTCTAACAGCGAAGAATCAGACTCTGATCAGTCAGACGTGCCGGAGATGGACTCGGAAATTGAGCAGGAGACACAGCTAACGTATCGACGACAGGTTTGTGATGGAGTCAAACACAAAATTTGGGTAAACACGTTCGTTTATTAAGCAGCAATCAAATACGCTCGTGCAGGTTTACAAAGAAGATCTACCTCAGCTCAAAGAGCAGTGCAAAGAGAAACACCGAGCGACGGCCATGAAAAAGAAAGAACGAGCACCAGGGAATGGTATTAAGCTGCACTTCATTCATGGGTAATTAAGGAAATATTGTATTTACACATCTCAAACCATGTTAGTTTGTTTATTTTAAACATCACATCTTTTATTGTTTCCTTTGCAGCTATAGGGGCTACGATTGCAGAAGCAACCTTTTCTACACCCAAACAGGGGAGATTGTCTACCATGTGGCTGCAGTGGGGGTTGTGTACAACAGACAGCAAAACACTCAACGATTCTACATGGGCCATGATGATGACGTCCTCTGTCTGGCTATCCACCCTCTGAAGGATTATGTAGCAACAGGCCAGGTAGCTGCCAAAATTTTAGGTTTATGGGGTCAGAAAGGTGTTTGAGTAAAAGAACAGTTGAGTTTCTGTGTCATTTTATTATCACTACAAGCTGCAAGGCAAAGGTGGAGGATAAAGTGGCTATAACAGTTAATTTTGACAGATATTGAGCTAAAGTTAACACATGGAGTGTGACATCTCACATTTCACATGAAATTATGCATAACTTTATTTTCAAGGTTTGACTAAAGTGACTGCAACGTCTTCTCAACATGAGAGGATCTTAGTCTAAAACATGGCATGAACGGTGGCGGGCGATATGTATTCCCTTATAAAGTGCTTGCCCTTAACTTTAGTCTTTTTGTGTCCGTAAAGGTTGGCAGAGATTCCCCAGTCCACATCTGGGACACGGAAACGTTAAAGCCCATGTCTGTGTTGAAGGGTTTCCACCAGCTTGGAGTGTGCGCTCTGGACTTTTCAGGTAACCGTCCCCTCTTTTTAAGGTGCAGTTTGTAAACTATTCAAGACCAAACCTAAACATCCTGCTTTGAAAAGCTTTAAAATAAAACACGTATCAAATATAAAAGAAAAGAAGAAGCCATGCTTGAAATGTATTCCTGCTGTCAAAATCAGGGTGGTTAAACAGCAACAAGGTAGTGCTCGTCTCACTGTCCTTAATTATACCCAAATGGAGGCATAGCACTAATCTTTGTGTCAGATCCACTGAATCATCTGCTGCAGATCAAACCGACTTGGATGCTTTTATGTCGCTAATAAGGGCCGAGCTTCACTGACACAAAGTAAGGACTGGCTTTCTCTTTGCTGTGCTTAATGATTTTTTCCTCCACAGCGGATGGCAAACGGCTGGCCTCGGTTGGCCTGGATGACAATCACACCATTGTACTGTGGGACTGGAGGAAGGGGGAGAAGCTCTCCGCCATGCGGTTGGTATTAATGTAGTTATATTACAATGTTGACACTGCAGGCTGGCCTTGCTGCACGCAGCAGCTGCCACCCCCACATCTGTAAAGCCTTGACAAAGCTCCCTGTTAATTCTGCAGTTTAAATATGGACATTGGTAGATGAGAACTAAATTGGAGCCGCTTTTTTCTTCGTTGAAAGCTAATTAAAATGAGATGTGGCAAGAAAGGGAATTACTTTCTATAACAAGGCTGCTCTTCAGCCATACCAAAATGTTATTGTGTCAGAATGGTCACATTAGGAGTTTGCCCTTGAGCTTTGTATGTACATCCATAATTAAGAGCACGACTTTAAGTTACCTGAAGAGCAGCATTGAGCTCCTTGGTATGCCAGATTTTGTTTTTAATAAGGCAACGTGTTTGAATTGTGTCCTTTTCTATACAGGTTGCAAATACAAGATAGAAAAAACTGATCATTTTAGAAAAACAAAAACAAAATGAGAGTTGAAACAAAAATGAATATGTTTTGAAAAATGTAATATGCTTTATTTATTAACCTTTATTTAACCAGGCAAATCCCATTGAGATCACAGATCTCTTTTGCAAGGGAGGCCTGGACCTGAAGGCAACCCAACATGCATGTTGCTTTTTTTTGGTTTGTGGGAGGAAACCGGAGTACCCGGAGAAAACCCATGCAAACACGAGAAGAACATGCAAACTCCACACAGAAAGACCCCAGGTCCAACCGGGGTTTGAACCCAGGACCTTCTTGCTGTGAGGCAACAGTGCTAACCACTGAGCCATTGTGCTGCCATGCATGAAAGGGAATTACTTTAAAGTAGTGCTATAGAAAGTGTAAACAAGACATGGGATAAGATATTGGACACACTTACCAGGATTATACACTTGATGCAGATGGATGATTTACCAGACCTGAATTATAAATTTAATCAAAGCCAGATGAGTGGAAATATAATGATATGTAGAGTTATATGTAGGAATAAATGTCTAACATATAGACAAAACAAACCACAGTTATAGTGCTAGTCTAAAACATCCAGAAGATAAAAAAAGCTTTTTTTCTTTTAACATAAATTAACTAAATCTACCGTGTTTAATTTGCAGGATATAAAATTGTACTATATTAATGTTTATTTTACAGTGCATATTCTGACGTTTGACTTATTTTTCAGAGGAAGCAAGGACAAGATATTTGTTGTGAAAATAAACCCTTACCTGCCTGACAAGCTCATCACTGCTGGTGTGAAACACATGAAGTTTTGGCATAAAGCCGGTGAGGCTCCTACTTTTGTGCTCGCTGAATTGGACTCTAACAAGCAAAGCTCTGCTTTAGAGATGACACATCTCACTGCGTCTGCTTGTCTTTCAGGCGGTGGTCTAATTGGACGCAAGGGTAACATGGGGAAGACCGAGACAATGATGTGCGCTGTGTACGGTTGGTCGGAGGAGATGGTGTTCTCAGGCACTTGCACAGGGGATATTTGCATCTGGCGAGACATGTTCCTGATGAAGACTGTCAAAGCTCATGACGGCCCTGTTTTCAGCATGCACGCTCTCGAAAAAGTACGCCACGGAGCCAAAGGATTCTTGTATTTAAAATCAAATATGCATAGTACAACACAAATTTCCTTACTTTTTGTACTATGTTTATATTTAGTCTTTAAGTGTTTTTGCCCAGATCCTTTTAAACTAATGCATGACTCAGACTTGATTTTATTAGGATCAATCTGTACACTGTGCATTGAGCATGCATCAGGATATCAATCTGTACACTTTGCAGATTGACTTTCTATATTTAGCAAAAGTAGGGTATTACATTTATTCTGACATTGGCATGTGCAAATTGGCACTCAGCTTAAATGTGAGAACATTTCTCCCCCGCAGGGATTTGTGACGGGTGGAAAGGATGGCATTGTAGCTCTTTGGGATGACACCTTCGAGAGGTGCCTCAAGACCTACGTTATCAAAAGAGCAGTCCTAGCTCCAGGCTCCAAAGGTAAAAATGTCACCCTGTTCATTCTCCATATTACAACAATTGGTTATAAATTCACTCAAAACATTCAGTGCTTTTAGCTCAATTAATTATTCTATAATTCATCAAATCTGCAGGGTTGCTGTTAGAGGATAATCCCTCCATACGTGCCATTTCTCTCGGCCATGGACACATCCTCGTGGGCACGAAGAACGGAGAAATCTTGGAGGTGGACAAGAGCGGCCCCATCACTCTCCTCGTCCAGGTGGGAGGAAGAAAACATGTTGCACAACTAATAACGCATCCCAGTAGGCTCAGCCACCGCGTCACTTGTCAGACAAGATACTTTTTGATGGTGCTTGTGTCTCTCTGAGCAGGATGAGCTGTAGGAACAGACTTTAATTTGACAGCAGCCGCAGGTGTGACATTCTACCAAGTTTATGAGCTGAATTTACGCTGAATTTCTCACTTGCTGGAGCTGTTGTAAACCCGTTTTCTTTGATGGTGTGTTTGCGTATTTATATATATATATATAAGCCATGTTGCTGAAGGTTACATCAGTTTTTTTTTTTTGCATCAGTTCTTGCTATGCTTAACCAATTTTTTTTTCGTATGGTGTCAAAATGAAGAAATAGGAGTGGATAAATAGAAGCTAACTGCTCTAAAACCTCACAATATCTGACATATATTTAGACGGACTGTTCTGTAGGATAGTCAGAGGTCACTGATGTATACTTGTGTGGTTAACGGAATAAAACGTGCAAATCTGTATAAATGCACAGAGGCAATGCTCATAAATGTTGATGAATTACAAGTGAACAAAGGAGTTATTAATTTAGTTAAGTGCTCCTGGAGTTTCTTTCAGCTGTCTTGATGGGCAGACACAACAGAAGTGATTGATTGTTTTTAGATGCAATTGATCAGTTTATAAAGGACAAGAAACAAAAGCTGTTCAAAGGATTAACTGAGGAAAAACCTCCATAAGTACATTTAGCACAACTTGAAAATTGAACCCTATTAATAAAACAAATGACACAGTAAGTAAAAGGTTACGAAAGGAGGCGTAATTGGGTGTTTGCTGCAGATTACTGCAGATGGCGTTTAACCTTTTAGTGCCCTGTTTTCCTTCATCGCTTCTTTGAGATAGACTTTAGCGACTGCAAATTAATTATTTATGCTCGTGAATGTGTCTGCAGGGTCATATGGAGGGCGAAGTGTGGGGCCTGGCCACTCATCCTCATCTCCCTCTCTGTGCCACTGTCAGCGATGACAAAACCCTGCGCATATGGGACCTCTCACCCAGCCACTGCATGCTGGCTGTACGCAAACTCAGGAAAGGTTTGTCATGGCTGAAACACTAAGGGATGAGTGTGATTTCTGGCAGGATAGCTTTAGAGCTTTAACAGACATCGTATCCTCCGCAGGCGGACGCTGCTGCTCCTTCTCTCCAGATGGGAAAGCCTTAGCGGTGGGGCTGAATGATGGAAGTTTTCTCATTGTGAACGCAGACACCCTGGAGGACCTGGTGTCCTTCCACCACCGCAAGGACATCATCTCCGATATTCGATTCTCTCCAGGTGTGCACCCACACAATCATTTACCAGCTGAAAATCCCTCAGTGATGTATTTGGACCTCTTTTATCCCTCTTTTATCAAAGCTGTGCTGAATATTAGCAGGTATGCATGCTCCCCTCCCGCTGTGAGGGGGGAGACATTGCTTCAGGCCTGACCCAAATTAATAGGTTTCTTTAATAAGGCCAGACAGAGAAACAGCGAGTGGCTGATAAAGTGAGAGCAAGAAACTTAAACTCTGTTTGGTCTGGACAGTTAATCTTCAGTGCACAGGATCATGTTTCTCCAAGGGTTCCTGAGAGCACACATCTACAAGTTAAAGTCTCATACAGAAAGTGAGCTTTTAGGATTGTTAAAAGGATAATAACGTGATACAGGTCCACATTTCTGTTTGGTTTTAAATGCAAAAACTCCTAATTAGCTTTTTTTTAAATGTTTTTACTCAAAACCACAATTGTGATAAAACTTGAAGTCGTGATTTTCTCCTGCTAAAATTAATGTTTAATCTCATCTAAATCATATATGCTTTCTAAATGTACATCTAGTTCTGGTGTTGACTGATCAGTTCAGTAAACTTTGTACAACAACCCCATGAGGCTAACGGTCAGTTTATTATCTCTTGATGGCTCAGGAGCTGGGAAGTACCTTGCAGTAGCCTCAGGAGACAGTTTTGTGGACATTTACAATGTAATGAGCAGCAAACGGGTGGGAGTGTGCAAAGGATGCCTCAATTACATCACTCATCTGGATTGGGACAAAAGAGGTAAACTTGATTCCTTAAGTGGCGTTATTTTTATTACTCTGTTGAAGAGGTGATAAAAATCCTAATCACTCTCTGCCAAACTAAAACCCAGCTGACTCTTTAATTCACAGGAAAACTCCTCCAAGTTAACACAGCAGCCAAAGAGCAGTTTTTTTTCGAAGCTCCGCGCGGCAAGAGGCAGACCATCCCGGCTTCGGAGGTAAGCAGGCAGAAAAGGCACAGGAGCGGCCGTGGTTCTTGAGCCGCCGGCCCACATTTATCCCCTCGGGCCCAGACGAGACTCAGGGAAGGGCAATGAAGCATTAACACGGCCCACTTTTCACCAGCGCCACTCTAATTTGGGGCGAGGAAGTGGGATAGTGTTTACGATGGCTTTAATGCATCGAGACATTCAGGCACCTCGCGAGGCACACAGTGGAGGGGAGCGCTCACAAAATAGGAGTCAGGGATGATAGATGCTGTTAGGTCATGTCTCAGTGGAGAGTGAAGTGTCCTCTGGCATTAATCTTCCCCTCACATTCCTTACACTGGTCTCCTGTGCACTCGACCACACAAGACTAACTGACTGCCTGATGTTTAGATGATGATGCTTTTAACAAGTTTATACTTTGGCCAGACCTTGAAAATAACACTATATGTGGCCTCATCCAATATTGTGAAATGTCATGCTGTGATTCTTATTTTCTTTACTGACTTGTTTCAGGTAGAGAAGATTGACTGGAGCACTTGGACATGTGTGCTGGGGTCGTCTGTTGAAGGTGCTTGGCCTGTGATCACTGAGATCACCGAGGTGACCTCTGCCTGCCTTAGTACTGACAGGAGGGTGCTAGCAACAGGAGACGACCTGGGATACATCAAGCTCTTTAGATACCCGGTGAAGGTAGGTATCATAATGTAAGAACATCCCTTAACTAAAAAACATGCTTTAAGATTTATGTAAATGTTATGTTAATTTTGTGTTAATGTGACAAATGGTATGTAAATTTTGGTCTTTTCCCTCAGGGAAAGTATGCAAAGTTCAAACGCTACGTGGCGCATAGCACACATGTTACCAATGTGCGATGGACCCACGACGACAGCCTCTTGGTGACGGTGGGCGGGGGTGACACATGCCTCATGATCTGGGCCCACGAGCCCGAGGGGCTGCGGGAGTTTAAAATGTGCGACAGTGAGGAGTCGGATATTGAAAGCGAGGATGATGGAGGCAAGAAAATACCTGCTGCTTAGGTTTTACTGGTCCTTAATTTACTGTTCTTCATTAAAATTCAAATTCCTGTTTCGTTTGCAGGTTACGACAGTGACGTAACAAGGGAGAATGAGATCAACTACACCATCAAGGCCTTATCCACCAACATGCGACCAATGACGGGGGTGAAGCCCCACCTGCAGCTGAAGGAGCCCTCCATCGACGAAAGGTACTTATTAAACAACTGCAACTTTCCCGGACAAACGCTCTTAACCAAACTTGACTTTTTCAAACATTTCTTTTCCTTTTGTAAAAAAATCTCATCCTGTTTCTACTTCCTTGAAGTAACATTGCCTTTTCTGCTCTTCTTCTTTCCTTTAATGGCTGTCCATTTCTGATTATCCTGCTCTTTTATTCCACATGAAGACAAGGGGTGGTCAGGTAAGTTTTGTAATAACAATTATGCATAATATGCAACAAAGATGAATCTGGGGACAAAAAAAGTAAAATGTAAGCATCACTAATGGAACTTAGTAGGCTATACAAGGTACATTATCATATGGTCATCTTCCAGCTTTTAAATAAAAAAACTAACAAAAAAATATGTTCGATGTGTCAAAGAAAGAAGACAAAATGTGGGTCCGTTCTTGTTGTTTCACAAATATCACACATTTGTAAACTTTCAATGGTAAAAATGCTTTTAGCATGTTTTTTTTTTCTTGGAAAACAAATTACATCCTAATTTTTGGGGGGCTTTTCCTTAATCTTCACTTCAATAATCAGCACAAGAAATTCTGAATACATTATTAGTTTTACTGGTCAGTGACTCAGAGGCACGGTGTACTTGAAAAGAACTAAGCTTTAACTTCACATCTCAACCTAAAAGAAATATTAAGACTAACGAATCTCATATTTACAGACCTATAAGTCGACTCTGTTACGTGTTTTAGTGTTATAATGCATCTACTGCTACTGACTTTTGGTATTTCAGACTGATTGATTTTCTGATAAATTTATTTCCATTCAAGCATCCGAGCCGCTTCTTCTGAGCAGCAGTTGTCATGGAAATGGACTCCGGTTGTCATGGTTACTCTGTAGCACTGACTTGTATTTTACTGTATGTCCTCAGCGGCTGAGGCGTGGGGTTAAACTGTGTCCGGCGGGCAGCAGTGAGTGCTGTGAGAAACATTTTCTAAACATTTTCTAATGCATGTTTCTGTGTCTCTTGTTGCTGCCACGAAGAGGGTCGAGGTAACCGCCTTCTTCTGTTATTTTTACATTTAAATATATTAATGTTTGTGTATGTTTGTGTTCACTTTTCCGCTTACATCAAGTCTGGATCCATGCAATGACTATGATGGCAAAGGCTTTACTAATTAACTGCATCTTTTATAGTTTTTAATTAATGTTTTCTTGCCTGTGCATAAAGTGTAATGATCATTATCAACACGATCTGTGTTATTACCAGCAGCTCCCTCATCCCAGCTGTCTGTTGCAGGCCTCCTGTTAGCAGAGCACTGCCGCAGCCAGAAAAGCTGCAAACCAACAATGTCGGCAAGAAAAAGAGACCTATTGAGGTAACTTCTTCTCATCAGAACATAACTAATGCAGACACACAGTGACTTTTATTTAAGCAGGACAAGGCTTGTCTCTGTCAGAAAGGACCCAATGTTCTCAGACAACCTTTCTGTAATTGAATAATGACTCAGGGCATCTTTGATGTCATGGAGTTAACCTTTCTGACTCTCACACTGTCTTCTACTGACTCTCCTGCAGGACCTGGTGCTGGAGCTGGTGTTCGGTTACCGTGGCAACGACTGCCGCAACAACGTGCACTACCTGAATGAAGGGGCGGATGTCATCTACCACACGGCCTCCGTCAGCATCGTCCTCAACCTGACGACCTGTAAACTCACCGCTTTTGAGACAATCAAAGTGGAATATGGTTCCGTGAATGAAACCCAGACTGCATTTAACGTTTGTGCTTTTTGGTTGTTCTTTTACAGCCTGCCAAAGTTTCTACACCGAACACAGTGACGATATTTTGTGCCTGACAATCAATCAACACCCTAAGTTCCCCAATGTGGTGGCAACTGGCCAAGTAGGTATGTTTGTGAGAAGTTTAGCCTCTTGTGTGTTGTGCATCCTACGTTTTGAGTTTAGACGTTTCGTTTCTAAAAAACGTGGGCCACCGATGCTCCAAGATGATATAATATGTGATGGTTCTGCCAATTAATCTCACTTTATTGCTTTACAGGTGACGCTGGTGACATGTCAGGTAAGATGTTCCAAAAACTAAGAAACTGCTTAAATGAAATCAGTAAAGTGTTAGATTACTGCCATCTAATGGCCAGTTTTGTTCATTTTTATATGTGGGGAAAAAGGGGCTAACAGTTCTTGAAGGAATGAAAATTATCCACCACACTTCATGCCAGAGTTTTAGACTAGCATCATATTATGAAGAGAATGACAGAGCTGCAGCTATTTTAGTTGTAAAAGACACGTTAAATCACGATGTATCTGTATCGTGTAATTGTTGTAGATGTGCATCTAGTGGCTACTTTCTAGAAGTTTTAATTAACTGGTATTGTCCTTTCACCTTTAGAGGCGGTGGCAAACATCTAAAAGGGAATTGTCTGTGTTTAACTTGGAGTTTTAACAAAAAAAAATATAGCTTTCATGTCATAACAGTTAAAATTTCAACAATTATGTTCTATTTCTTTGTTCTGCCCTTCAGCGACGTCTCCATCCATCCACGTGTGGGACGCGATGACCAAGCAGACGCTGTCGGTGCTGCGATGTTTCCACTCGGGGGGCGTCTGCTCTGTCAGCTTCAGCGCCACAGGAAGACTCCTGCTGTCTGTGGGCCTGGACCCTGAACACACCGTCACCATCTGGAAGTGGCAAGAAGGTATTCAAGAACGAAAGTCTCTTTATCTTATATGATTTATCTATGGAGTTGTAACTAAGATATGAAACATATTCTCCACTGTGCTTTTATTTTTAGGAGCCAAAGTGGCCAGCAGGATAGGTCACACCCAGAGGATCTTTGTGGCAGAGTTTCGTCCTGACTCTGACACACATTTTGTGTCTGTGGGCATCAAGCACGTGCGCTTCTGGACGTTAGCGGGTCGAGCTTTGCTCAGCAAGAAAGGTGTTTTGAGTTCTTTGGAAGACGCCCGGATGCAGACCATGCTCTCTGTAGCATTTGGAGCTGTAAGTAAATCCCATCATTCTGGTTTAAAATGTTTATATACATATTTTGTTTAATTATAATTGAAAGAAATACATGTACATGTTGCATTGTCCCTCTTGTGTTGAATCTGCTGAAAGGTAAAGCTCAACGGTCTGCTTAAATGTGCTGTGAACTGTTTGTGCATTGCTTGCTCTGCTCTTTTAGGCCACTAGATTAGTGCAGATTTGTTTTCTTTTCAGAATAACTTGACCTTTACAGGTACCATAAGTGGGGATGTGTGTGTGTGGAAGGAACACATTCTGGTAAGAATAGTGGCCAAAGCTCACACGGGCCCTGTGTTCACAATGTACACCACACTGAGAGACGGCCTCATCGTCACAGGAGGCAAAGAAAGGCCGTAAGTGCTTGTCTAAATCAGCGAGGTCAGATTTACTTTTTAATGAAACAACAAAATGCAGCTGTTTTTTTGTTTTTCTACAGGTCAAAGGAAGGAGGTGCTCTGAAGCTCTGGGACCAGGAACTGAAACGCTGCAGAGCCTTTCGATTAGAAACTGGACAGATCATAGACTGTGTTCGCTCTGTATGCAGAGGAAAGGTAATTTCTTGTTGAATGAAAAAAAAAAATCTGGTTATTCTTATGGGTTGCTGTTTGTAAAGTTATACAGTCAAAAATCAACAGCAATATTTTGGTTTATTTGGCCTTTAATAAGAAAAATCAGGCTTTTTTAAAGTCATATTTTCACCAAGTTATTCATACATTTATAAATGTCATAGTTCCAAACTAAATATTTAGTTTACAAGCTAAATACTTAATTTGTAAGTTAAATATTTAGATAGTAAACTAAATATTTAGGTGTAAATTAAGTATTTAATTTCCAAGCTAAATATCTATTTTCAAAACTAAACATTTTATTTCCAAACTAAATATTTATTGTCCAATCTAAATATTGAATTCCCAAACTAAACATTTAATTTCTAAGCTCAACATTTAATTTCCATATTTGCAAACTAAATATTTAACTCTCACCTAAAGATTTAGCTTGCAAGTTAAATAGTTAGTTAGAAAATTAAATATTTAGTTTAGGAATTAAATGTTTAGCTTGGAAATTAAATGTTTAGTTTGGAAATTAAATATTTAGTTTGGAAATTAAATATTTAATTTACACTTAAATATTCAGTTTACTAATTAAATATTTAAGTATTTAGTTTATAAACTAAATTTTTAGCTTGTAAATTAAATATTTAGTTTGGAACTATGACATTTATAAATGTATGAATAACTTGGTGAAAATATGACTTTAAAAAAGCCTGATTTTTCTTATTAAAGGCTAAATAAACCAAAATATTGCTGTTGATTTTTGTCTGTGTAACTTTACAAACAGCACCCCATATATTCTGACTTCATCATTCAAGATCTGATGGTTTTGGCTCTCAGGGTAAGATCCTTGTGGGAACAAGGAACGCAGAGATCATTGAGGTGGGGGAGAAGAACGCAGCGTGCAACATCTTGGTGAACGGACACATGGACGGTCCTATATGGGGTCTGGGCACTCATCCTTCCAGAGACGTTTTCCTTTCTGCTGCAGAGGACGGCACAGTCCGTCTGTGGGACATCCCAGAAAAGGTCAGAGTCTTACAGCTTATTCTGTCGTTTTCTTAACTGGAAACTCTCGAGCTGATGGCGTTCCTGCTCTGCCTTGTGGGAAAACAGAAGATGCTGAATAAGGTGAACCTGGGCCATCCAGCGCACACCATCAACTACAGCCCTGAGGGAGACATGGTGGCCATTGGCATGAAGAACGGAGAGTTCATCATACTGTTGGTCGTCTCGCTCAAAATCTGGGGGAAAAAGAGAGACAGACGCTCCCCTATACAAGATATTAGGTAATGATGGATCGAGGTTGAGTGGTGTAGAAAGATGAGAGAAGAGCTCACACAGAAAGTACCATCAGAATTTAGATTCCATCATTTTTAGGGAATGAAATGCTCTTTCAAAATCCCATCTTTGCTGCAGGTTCAGTCCAAATTCTCGCTACCTGGCTGTCGGCTCTACTGAGTGTGCCGTGGACTTCTACGACCTGACGCTCGGCCCGCAGCTGAACCGCATCAACTGCTGCAGAGACATCCCCAGCTTCATCATGCAGATGGACTTCTCAGCTGACAGCTCCTACATCCAGGTACAGACGTCGCTCCCAGCTCAGCGGCGAGAGCTCACGTTTCACAGACTGTCTGGTCGTTGGAGCTCTGACTCTCACTGCCTTGAAACAGATATCCACAGGTGCTTATAAACGACTCGTGTACGAAGTGCCATCTGGGAGGCAGATCACAGAACAGTCTCAAATTGACAGCATCACCTGGGCCTCCTGGACAAGGTGAGAACCTCAAGGGGATATGTAACCTTTATGTGTGTTTAAAAAACGACAAACCTTCCTGTGTGTGTGTTCAGTGTCCTTGGCGATGAAGTCGTCGGGATCTGGTCCCGTAACGCTGACAAAGCTGACGTCACCTGTGCCTGCGTGTCCCACTCGGGCCTTAACATTGTCACAGGAGATGATTTTGGGATGGTAAAGCTGTTTGACTTTCCCTGTCCAGAGAAGTTTGTAAGTATAGTTTTATATTATTTTACAGGTTTTATGTAGAGTGGAAGGTGCGCCTTTAAATTTATCGTCAAACCCTCTTTGTGTTTTGAAGCATTTGTTTTAATCATGCCTGAATTATTACAGCAATGCACAAGTTGTGTTTTAGTACAGAGGTACTGATCGACAACTCTCTCCAGATATTCCGTGTTGTATAAAAGTGCTCGGCCTCGAATCTGCTGACCCCGAAGTTTCATTATGAGCTGCTTGAATGAGGGGGTGAAGTGTTGTATCAGAGAGCTGATTCAGGCTCTGCAGTATAAGGAGGAGTCAGAAAAAAAACTGTTCAAGCGAGCAGGTTAGGCTTATGGAGTCAGTTGCCATGGTAACTGACTCTGAGTTCAGGTTGATGGTCTTTTTGTATCAGATCCATTGTTTGCCCCTGAAATTTCACACACAAAAAAGTGCTTTCCATAATACATTTTTGGACAGAGAAAAAGAAGTTTATTATATTAGAAATAAATGTAGAATGCATTGATGTTATATTAGTTTATCAGCTCAAAGAGAAGATTATTGTGTGAATGCTGCATCAGAATTTACACTCATCCTATTTAAACTCTGCTCTGTACACGTTTTGGAATCAAACTACTTTTGCATACTTTGTGCAGTTCAACCATTCATACAACATTATATTTAGCTCCATCATTAATAGTTTATGACTTTTGGTTTTTGTAACTTGTATACTTTGCAAAATAGTTAACCTTTTTTTAAATAAAATGACCCATAGAAATACATTGAGATCTCATCAACATTCTTTAAATATTTTTTTTGAAATCTGCTTCAGCATACATGCTCTAGTTTTGTCTTCATATATCATCTTTAGCTGTTAGCTTCTCTTCTACCACTTTAAGCTTTTACCTACCATTTTGGAAATGTTTAATATTTAGCTACGATTGAGCAAATGTTTTGTTTGAGTTACTATTTTGTGTTGTAAAATTTAACTACTGTTTAGCAAAATTTAGCATTTAGTAGCATTCAGCTACTTTTAGCTTTTGGCTCAGGTTTTGCAAAGTTTAAGCTTTTAGCTATAGTTTACCTAAATTTAATCAAATTAATTTAAGTTTATTTATAAGGCTTATTTCATGGCAAAATAAAGTAAAAAAAAAAACATTATCACGACCTGCTTCTTTCTGTCCGAGACGGGTGACAGCTGGTGTCTGTCTCCAGCAGTTGCTGTGCGAGAGGACACTGTGGACAGGTCACAAGTCCATCACAGGGACATATAGAGACAAAAAACATTCACACTTTCACGCACACATAAGGACAATTTAGTTACCAATTAGCTCAACAAACATGTTTTTGGAAACCAGAGTACAGAGAAAATTCACGCGTGCACGGACAGAACATGCAAACTCCATCCAGAAAAGGTGTCAGGCTGAGATTTGACCCGGCGACCTTTTTGCTGAAAGCTGACAACTCTACCAGCTGCACCACCGTGCCATCAGAAAATTTTAAAAATTAAAAATAAAACAATAAATCTAAATCAGATCCAGATTCAAATTAAAGTAAATTATTTCCCATTTTATTACAACAAATTCATACAGTATTTTTTTTTTTTGCTTTTGACTGCTGTTTTGCTAGTTTTCATTTTAACCATTCATTCTTTTCCTCCCTTCATTAGTGTCAGTCTGCGTTCACGCTGCATTTCTTTCAGAAAAAAGCATTTCTCTGGTTGTTGCTTGTTTTGTATGAAAGCTGTAAAGTGCTGTTGGTGTCTTTGCCGTAAACGAAAGACGCCTCAATGAAGAGCCTCTGATCTGTTCTTAGGCCAAACACAAACGCTTCCTGGGCCATTCTGCTCATTTGATGAACATTCGCTTCACAAACGGAGATCACTTTGTTGTCAGCGCCGGAGGAGATGACAGAAGGTAAGACTGAGGCATCCAACTTTACAAATAATAAGACGCCGCTGCACTAATTGATGCATCCTGTTTGTGTCACCCTCACAGCCTCTTTGTGTGGAGGTGCATCCATACCCCACATTAAAACTCTGACTGGGACCACCGCCCCGCCTCAAAGGAAGCTTCTCCTGACTGGGCTCTACGGAGAAATGAAGGAATGCGTCTAAATGTGGAGGAGGAGTGAAGACCTGGCAGCTTGATGATGAGTTAAAGCGGTGATTCGACTTACTGCCTCAAACCTTGGTGCATGCATATGTGCAAATCTCATTTACATCTCAGTCCTGTTTATGAAAACGGTACTATCATCTGTGACACTAGAGAGAAAATAAAATAACCTAATATGTGCATATCATTCAGTGGTGAATTATTTATTAAAATGAGCTTATCTCTGTACATTTTGCCACTGGGCAGGCCTATATGTTACTGACAATGCCATTTTTTTTAACATGTAGCAACATGAATTAGCCTTAATCCAAGTGTCTGTGAGGGTTCTTTTTGTATTGTTTGTTTTACTTTTTGGATCATTGTGGTCATTTGTTTTATTTTTACTGTTAATTCCAACCCCTGTGGCCTTCCTCCTGAATGTAACATCCGCTGTTATGTTCTGGATGTCAGCATGCCAAAGCATACTATGCACTGTACACCTGACCTGGTCACTGTGTTGCCACCTTCCACCCGCTGGTTCCATTTATGAGTTATGTGGTTGTGTTGTAGACCGGTTGACCTCAGACCCCCCCACCCCTTCATGATGTTTGCATATTTAAAGGACTTGTTTGTGGGTAATGAGTGTGCATGGCTTACTGGAAGACAATCTGTTCAAAACCAAATTCATGAAAAAAGAAAGAAAGAAAGGCAAATAGAAAAACAAAAAAATAACTCCTGTATATTGATCTTTCGATGCACTGTTGCGATTCTTTTGGTCACCTTTTTCCATGCGTGCTGCTATATAATTGTTGCATTTTCATAACTATGAACAGTGTGACTTTTCTCAATAGTAACGGTAATGTTATGTGTGATGAAGTATATTGCAAAAAAAAAAAAAGGAATGTTAATCAGAATAACATATGAAAAAGTGCAAAACAGTTTCCTTGTATTTAAGACTACTAAACAAACGTTGCTGCATATTTTGATTTACATTTTATCAGTGTACATATCATTTGTAGATATTCTTTTTGTATATTTTTGTGAAGTGTTTCTTAAACTCCACTTTAATAAAAAAAAATTGAGCTGCAAAAGTTTTGATTGCTTATCTTCATAAATAATATATATACATATGTGTATATATATATATATATATATATATAGAGAGAGAGAGAGAGAGAGAGAGAGAGAGAGAGAGAGAGAGAGAGA